TTTTTTTTTTTTTTTTTTTTAAATCTGATTATGTTGGATAGATCATTAATTGTGTGGCAAGTTTACATCCAGTTAGAGTTGAAATGACAAAGTGGAACATTTTTTTTACATGAAGACTGGTTCACATGACACCAAATGTTGGCTGTGAAAATGGGGGAACTGTTTCTCTTTATTTCCCAAATCAGTCCCCCATATTGAGCTGTACCTCAACTAAGTGGCTTTTCTAGCGCCATTCATTTCGTAGAGATCCAAACTGGAATATTTACATCAAAATGCACTGTTTACATTTATCTTGCCGATTGCAACTTGTCTTTTCTACTGTTTGTTAATAAAAGCTTTAGCAGATAGCACAGTGTCTTGCCTGGTGTTTGGTCTTGCAGATTTTTAACGACTTTAAAAATCTGTGATAAGAAATCACAATATAAAAGTCTTTACTTCTTGATGTAGCAAATTTAATTTCCAGACTTGGGGAAATTCAGTTTAATTATATAGCACCAAATAACAAGTTATTAGCAATTGTTAAATAATATTACAAGAGAAACCCTACAATCATATTACCAAATATGTGCTTCCTATGAGCAAATTCTTAATATGATTAGAGGAAAGAATGGACCCTGGAAAAATCATGTGCCAGTAACTTAAGTTCAGGAACACGTATCTCTTGGAGGCATGCAACGCGAATCCCTGTAAGGAGAATGAAAAGTGGACAGGCTCAGAATATCCTGGAAAGTCTAATGCCTAAAGCATTGTCCAGAGTCCCCTAATCAAGCCTTATCCTAAAAACATTTTGAAGCCCAATCTTATTAAGCTTGAAAAGGGAAGCTTATTAATTGACAACTGTCTTGCCTTCACCTGCACCATTTGGATATTCTAATGAATGATGGTCACTAATTAAAATGATTTATTTAAATTGTTAATTCTCACTGTCTAGAAACGTTCATTGTGTCCATGTGTTAATATACGTTCATTTTTTTATGTGTTCTACAAAAATGTATTATTAGTTTTATTCGTGACATAGTTCACATTAAATTGTGCTAAAAATATATTTTAAAAAAAGAGCGGGAGAGAGGAGAGCTAGAGACGGAACTATAGTTTCACATCTCGGTTCCAGGTAGGATTTATTTTCCCTGTTACACTCTTGCCATGGCTGACAGCGCTACAGCTTAAATAAAAAATAAAACAACCCATCTTCTCTTAGTTCTGTAGTTATGCTTTAGCGACCACTTGGGTAAGTCATTCAAGTTTTTTTCCCCAACATTAGTTAGTCCTGGTATTTTCTTACGAAGTATGACATTTAAAAAGTGTTATTTAAAGTAACTTTTTGTTACGTATACTGAGCACCAAGCTAATCAAGTATTTCAGTTAAGAATAGCCAGTTTACTATCGAAATTATCCTTCAACTAAAAGGGACAGAAATTATTTCGTTTAATTATCGAACAATTTATTAAAAGCTGCTTTGTTCAATTTGATGGCTGCATATTTTATTCTCAGAAACCTTAAGATTCTACGACAAATCCAACAAATTGTGCTTTTCATTAGGCACAGAGGGAAAAGAACGTAGTACAACTACCACTCGAACAAAATATATAACTCACAACATCTGATTACGCATCACAAAGGACTGCAGATCTGAGCAGCACTCCACGCACTCACATAAAGGAAAAAAACTGCATGCAGGGGTAGACATTGATAAGACATTAGTAGGAGTGCCATTCTCCGTTCGACTTATAGAGTAGTATTTGGATAGTGGCAGAGTGGATTTTAAATAAAATTATGAAGACGTGATTGAAATTTAGATTTTTTGGATTGTGGTAACTATACAGAAATTACAGCCATTTTTTATACAAAGTTGCTCAGAGGTTAAAAGGTAATTGGACAAATGGATGATAAGCAGTTTCAGGGCCAGGTGAAGTCTGTTCTCTCATCTCATGATGGACTAAGAAGATAACATTTCTGGAGTTGTTTCCTTGCTTGCATATGATGTCTTTATTCTGGAACTCTCAATATGTGGTGTGAAAGAGTGATGCAAGTGTAGAAAATTCTCACAGAGGTAGGTCTATGGATCTCAGTCAATGGTGTACTTAGAGTCTACAGTCCAGAGTCACCTTCATGAATGTAAATTTACAACAAGGTGTAAATCACTGGTTACACGTAAAAACAAGATCAGGCTTTGTCCGAAAACATCTAAAACAGCTTTCACACTTAAGCTAAAAAAAATTCTGCGAACACATAAAAGCAATCTTAACCAGAATGACGGGAACAGAAGAGTGTGCAGAAGAAGAGAAATAACTCACGATTATAAGCATAACACATTATCTGTAAAACATTGTGGAGATAATGTTATTGTGTGGGCACGTATGGTTGCCACTGTAACCGGGTCACTAGTGTTTATTGTTAATGTGACTGCTGGTACATATAGCAAGATGAATTGTGAAGTGTACAGGACTATACTCTCTGCTCATGTTCAGCCAAATGCGGCAAAACTGGTCAGGACTTGCAAATGTATGATGAGCCAAAATAACCCGCAAAAGCAACCCAAGAGTTTTTCAAGGAAAAGAAATTAAATATTCTTCAAAAGCTGAGTTAGTCAGTCACCTGACACTTGGAGGAAACTTTAAATTACTGATGACAAAGGTGAAGACTGGGAGACCCACAACCAAGCAGCAATTGAAGGTGGCTCTCAAAGGCTGTGGGTTCTAGACTTAAGACAGTCATTAACTATAAAGCAGTATTAAAAACAGTCCTTATGTTTACAATTGTATTAATTTATCCAATTAATTTTGGGGGGCTATATATACGAAAAACATTTAAAAAGCTATAACTCCTAAATTTTTAATGCTGTATTTTTGTTAAGCCCCTTGAATTAAAGAAGGAAATCTTGATAGATGAACTGAACTCCAGTGTGGTGTTGTACAGGTGGGAGAATATTGTCCAAATACTTCTGGTTGTAAAAGATCTTTATCAGTTCTGATATTGACTCTTCATGATTTGTTTTTGTCTCATTATCTCACAGTGTTGAAACTGCTGAATAGAATAAAGGCTCACATGCGTGAAAACGTTCCACTGTCAAATGTTTGACATTCCCGTTTTGCAATGTACAGCTGTCAAAAAAAACATGCCAGCATTGACTAAAAAGCTTGATAAGCTTGAGATTAGAGTCAGGTAGCTAAGATAATCTAGAACTGGTTCTTAGTTAGGAACTGTTCTCGATTCTTCCCTAATGTCAGTTTGTGTGAATTCCTTTTTACGATATGGCGTGTACAGAGCCAGTTTCTGTGTTCAAATAAAGAAATCCTATAGTTGTGAATGAATCTGTTTCTCTTCTTTCTCACATCATAGACTTGATGTGATGTCAGATAAGCGTCAGCGTGCCAGAGTTCAGGGCTGCTGGGCGAAACAACTGCCAAAACACTCAGGTCCAACAGGTAAATCAAAGTGTACTGTGAAATGCAGGATTTGCATGCTTTTGCCAGCTCAGGTCATTCATAGAGGTAGATTAAAAAAATATATATATATAAGGAATTTTCTTCCTCTCTTATCAAATACAGTTATGTGTTTAAATAAGTGTGATAAATTGGGCTGACATTTACGTAGGAAACAAGATTTTTATTCTGTTTTTTTAAACAGGTGCAGGCCCAAATTGCAATGAATCCAAAAATGCCAACGTGGCCTCTGGTTCTTGGGGTTTTGGGCCTCAGAAAACAACTAAAACCTTTGAGTTTCTCCAGCCCTCCCAGGTAGACTGTCCACGTGAAGAAGTCAAAATGAGTCTTTGCTGCCAATAAAAATGAATGTGAGGATACTACTTTTTTTTTTTTTCCTTTATTGCAGCCAATTAGAGATGTGCCACCAGAGAAGATGATAGAGTAAGTTACTAATTTCAATCTTTACTTCCACAGCTTTGTTTTTATGACAGATAACGTTTTTAATCACACAATTTTTAAGGTGGCTTAGCGAGTCCTCTACTACATACTTTTAACGTGATTCATTTTGTTCTGGTCAGACAGGCAGGTGATTTTGAGATCAGCCATGGACCATCAGGGGTGTCCAGGTGTGTAAAGTTTAAAAAACAATTAAATGGAAAATAGCTGAATGTGTGTTTATTGAACATTGCACAAATCAGTGCCTGAGTTTTAAATCCACTAGGTGGCAGTGGTCGCATAATAAATATGCTTTTTCTTAATAAAAGTCATGCTTTTTACTTTATGGTCCCCAGTAAAACACATAAAATGAGCTTTGTTTTTAATAATTAAGTATATTTCATAACTTGTGCTTTATTATATAGTGGAAGGTACAATTAGGCTATTTTCACATAGATTTTTAGCATGTCAATTTTGATTTTATTGTTATTAGAAAAATCTGATTTACAGAGACAATGTTATTGTAGTCTGTATTTTGTTACCGAGGTTCAGTTTGAATTTTAGCAGGTCATTTTGTGAGCTTAACAGAATGGTTGTAATGGATAATAAACCAAAAGTAACTGTCAGTCATTTGATTTTACTATTTGATCTGGATGTTGAAAAATTTTACTATTTTACACAAGAGCCTTTTCCCTGTGTATTTAAGGTTACACGTTCATATTGTTAAGGAGGAATTTTATTCCTTACAGAAATAATTGGAATGCCCAGACTTTAAACTCTTAGAAAACCAGGGTAAAGTGCATACTGTATACTCTTACTTTATGTTTATGGGGATTTAGTCTGTGTCTATTTATCTTTCATCTGTCGAGGCTGCGGCTGCTGCCTGGATTTCTCTCCCCAGAAGAGGCCGACTGGATGTTCAGTAAGCTGCTTGCAGAGCTTCCATGGTCCCAAAAGACCAACTACAGACAAGGTGAGCACTGGTTTCTTAACAGTGTAAACTAGGTGAAATGTGAGTTTGTGGTTTGTAGAGAGGAGCGTGAAGAAGGATTCCCCACTGCAGGAAGTTTGCTGTTGGATTCAGGTTTGTTCCTGTTTCATGTATGTGCAGTGGTGACCTTTTAAAACAGTTTTCGGTACATGTATTTTAAAAGTACTTAAAGATCTCTAAATAATAACAGAATACTTTTTGTTGGCAATAGATTTGGGTAATTGTTTAATATACTCTCTTTTTTTAAAATTCTAGCTTTTTAATGCAAAGTTTTCCAAATCCAACTAGGTGCCTTGCTCATGTGGTAATTTGTGTATGAACTTTATTTTGAAAAAAAAAGCTGACACTGAGAACACTCACATTGTATTCCATATACGGTGACAGACGATATACAGGGGAATGTGCTGAGATGAAGCCAGACTTTGCCTCACAATCGTCCTTTTCTCTCAGCTGGCTCTTGTCCATCTTTTGTGTAATTCTGCAGTAGCTACACAGCAAACAAACAGAATGATGAAGACAAGTGGTCATGATTTCCAAACACTCACCACAGACACAGGGTGTGAAATCATCAATGTTTGGGTTAAGGAAGAGTGGAAAAAGAAGTGGTGGCTGGCTCTTTAATGTATCACCACTCCTTCATTTATACTGCCCTGCTTTAAAACAACCTTTAAATGCACTGACTCAGTTTTTCCGATCATTTGGTCTCACAACTTTGAAATGGATACTTTGAATGGGTTTGGCTTTTGCTTATCTTTCTGTCATTTGAGAGTTGATAAATAATAATGTAATAATGTAATAATTCAGCACCATAAAAAGCAATGGCTGCTCAAGCAGTTTGTTTTGGTTTCACCGTATTCTGATACCAGACGGCTGGCCAAAATACACCGAAGGCAAAAAATTGTTTCTTGGAAGAGAACTATTGGTTTCCCAAGAAAGGGAGGTACACTCAGACCCACAGAGGAAGACAGAGAAATTGGATTTAGATGTTTACGCGACCCCTGTTAGAAAACCAGTGACAAAACAGGCGATTATTGTACATGTTTGTTAGACACTGAAAGAAAATCCAGTAAGAACAAATTTGTCAGTTTTCTGCCCTGACTGAATTGCCTTCATCAAATTACTGACGCAATATAGAGATTGATTTGATGGTTTACTCTATGAAACTGTCCACAGTCAGAGGTCTGGATTGGGGTTTGAGTGGTTGAGTGTTTTATACTCAAAAGACCAATCCATCCATTTCTGCAGTTTATCTGGGTCTGGGTTGTTGTGGACATCAGTCTAAACAGAAACACCCAGACCTCCCTCTTTCTGGCCACATCCTACAGCTCTTTAGGGAGAATACCAAGATGTTCCCAAGCCAGCCAAGAGGTGTAATCTCTCCAGTGTCTCCTGGGTCTGCCTTCTCCCTCACCTATAAGGTACCCATAAGGCATCCTGGTCAGATGCCCATCTCAAATGGCTCCTTTAGATGTGGAGGATCAGCAGCTCTACTCCAAGACACTCTTGAAGGGCCGAGCACCCCACTCTATCCCTAGAGCTGAGCAAAGCCACGCTATGGAAGCTTGTTTCTACAAGTGTACCCACCCCTGCCTCTCACTAAGGTGCAACTCCAGAGTGAAACAGAATCCATCCCCTCTCCAGGAGACTGGTTGTAATTGTGTGTTCAGGCAAGCCTTACCATATCTAGCCAGTATCTCTCCACCTGAAGCGGTAGCTTAGACTTCTTCGTGTTCATGGGAGGTGGCGTTCCATATACCCAAAGCCCGTTTCAGCAAGTTTGAATCAGACCGCCAAGTCCCCCGCTTTTGACTGCCACCTGATTGCCTCCACAAATCACCACATCATTGTGGTGGAGGGGTTTGTGTACTCTGGTGATCCTAGGTCCCATATTGTTAGGGCATTTTGTCCCTGGTAGGGTCTCCCAAGGCAAATTGGTTCTAGATGAAGGGACAGACGAAGTGCGATTCACAAGACCTTTATGTAGGAAAAACCAGTGGGCCAGTGTACCACACTCAGATTAGGGTTAACGGAGCCAGACCCAAGGGTGGGCCTTGTCAATGATCATCTGATGGTTGGGAATTAGCCTGCAGTGCTGGTCAGGCTCAGCTCAAAAGAGCCACATGGACACATTTCCTGTGGACCAACCACATGCAGGAGGGACCGTAGGGGCCCGGTACAGTGTGCATCAGATAAAATTTCTGTTATTAACCCGGAAATACTAGCACAGCTCTTTTATTTAAGCTTTCAAATAACCACGTTATTTTTTGTGTGTGTGTGGACTAAGACTGGGTATCAAATATCAGCAGATTTTAAATATTCACAGAAATGTGTCCCCCACTTTGCAATACCAAAAAAACCTTTTCTCTTGTTTAATCTGGGCAATTTCCTGATCTGTTTGGATGTGTGCGTGTATTCTGGTCCAGGTGAAGCATACGAGGAACCCAGGCTGACCTGCTGGTATGGAGAGCTCCCATATACCTATGCTCGCTCCACAATGGCTGCAAACATGCAGGTTTGACAACTGTAACAAAAATGTGACAGTTTTTTTTTTTTTCACACAGTCTCTGGCAAAGTCTTTGATTTGTAGTCTAATTGTAGGGAGAATAAAAATTGATCTAAACAGAGTGAAATATTTGCTTTTGTTATATTATTTTAACATTGAGTCTTTCATTTTCCTCATTCATCATTCTGTTTTTCTATCCTTTTGTCATACATTCATTTGCTGAACTCTGCGTATTGTTCTTGCTTTTTCCTCCAAGTGGCATCCATTGCTGGTAAACCTTTGCAAGGCAGTGGAGCATGCGACTGGATGTAGCTTCAACTCCCTGTTGTGTAACTTGTATCGGGATGGCCATGACAGCATTGGCTGGCACAGTGACGACGAAGCCTCATTGGGTCCCAAGCCAACTATTGCTTCTCTTAGTCTGGGCGACACCAGGGTCTTCAGTCTCCGCAAGCAGCCTCCACCGGTGAGTTAGCTCACTGGGTTTCATTCTTAACTATAATAAAAACAAGATGAAAGTATTCTGGTAAGATGAGATCGTCTCACAACTAACTTAACTTGTGAAGAAAGGCAAGACGAGTTGGGAAGTGATCCAATCAGAAGTAATCTCCTTGTGCATCATTAAAGTTAGATGGACACATTTGATCTGCCTCAGGAAACAGTACAACTTGGGAGGAAGAGTGAAGCAGATTAATGGACACATTTCACATTCGATGCCAAAAAAAATGAGATGCTTTGCAAACTGTGTGAAGCAAAGCATCAGCATTAGGTGTTTGCATATAGACTGAAGATTAACCTTTGGACTGCACTGTGTGTTTTTGTCCTTTAGGAGGAGAAGGGTGACTACACTTACGTGGAGCGGATTCGGATTCCTCTGAGTCATGGCACACTTCTGCTGATGGAAGGAGCCACACAGGACGACTGGCAGGTAGGCTCCACCAGGCAGGCAATAAAGTTAAGCCTTGATTACGCTCTCCAAGCCCGCTAAGGTTTGCTTAGGGCTGAGTGATGTAAACTTTGTCATCAAAAAGAGAGTGTGAGTGTAATAGTAATCGCTGCTAAGCTGCTGGGTCTTCAGTGAGTATGACCAAAGCTTTATTCAAAGAGAGTCCAGCTACAGGATAGATTCAGGCAGAAATTAAAAATACTTTTTATTCAAAAATGTCTCCCTTTCAGGTGCCGGGTCATTCGCACTACACCAGGGGTGTCTCAAGAGCCAGTTTCCTGCAGGTTTTAGATTTGTCCTTGATCCAAAACAGCTGATTTAAATGGTTAAGCATGTCTTGAAGTTCTCCAGAAGCTGCTAATGAACTCATCATTTGATTCAGGTGTGTTGACCCAGGGTGAGATCTAAAACCTGCAGGACACAGGCCCCTGAGGCCTGGAGTTCGATACCCCTGCACTACACGTTGCCAGATTTATTTGTTAGCTAACTCACATTGCATATTAGAAATCAACTATACACATATTATGAGTTGGTTCCTGTGTTCCATTTGTAAGGATAAAGTGCAGAAAAATGAAAATATAAAACTCACATATTATTACTTCAATGTTTGGCTTAGCTGTTGGACCTAATTTACCTGCTTGGTAACAATGATTTTATCCATTATACTATATTTACTGTCAAAATGAACAACATACATCTTCAGATAACAGAAGAACACTGCTAGTTTGTTTTTAAGGTTCTTTTCAGCCTGTTTTACATAGATAGTTTTGTATTGTGATGCTTTTGTAAATTATCTTTCTTGCACAAACTAAGTTATTATTAAAACAGCAACCTTGAAAAAAACACTTCTAATGAAACACTGGACATTCACACTGAATAGTCTCCTCGCTGTTGTGCAATAGAGGAGTGTTAGTGCTTCTGACTCACCATGTGAGCATATAGATGTGTGGTGAAGGCAGTCAGGTTCCTCTCGCCTGGACAACCAGTAACAAGGATGAATGGAGAGGCCTGGAGAGAAGAGTAAGGCTTCAACCTAATGAGAGTCTTCTTTCTTTTCTTTTCTTTTTCTTTTATGATCAAAGTCAGAGCAACCAGATTTATATGAGTGCAAGGCTCTTGTGTATGTAACAGAGAGAGTAGCTGGGTTCTGTTGAAAATAACTGGATCACACTCAGGTATGAGAATGAGTTATTACGGCATATTACAGCTGCTTGAATTTCATTATGGCCAAATCTGTTTGCAGAGCAGGTAAAATGGGCCATGCTGTTTAGGTATCTTTTTAAACTTTGTTCAAGGATGCATAGCAAAACATAGACGCTTGGAGAGACGCTCACACTTGGCTCTTAATTCCTATGAAAGCAATAAGGACACTTTCATATTTTCACTGGACTATACAGAGTTGTGTGGGAAAAAAAATTCCACCTGACTGTACATATATAAAACGGTTTATTACATAAGCAAATTTAAACAAGTTTTGTCCACCGCTAGAGGAATTCAATGATCAAAACAATACCACTGATATAAATCAGGACGGGCCCCAAATGGAGCTATCCTCAACTTTCCACTACACAATGTTCACTTACTAAAAACTAAGTGAGGTGAGAGAGTGAGAGATACAAGTTGGGGCAAGGAGATGAAAAAGGTTTGAGCTGAAAGAAGGAGAGGATAAGGTCACAGGTGTTTTATGACGACACCCTCCTGAGTAACTTAACAGGGGCTTCATTACTTTCTTTCAAGAAAAAGATCACTTCAGACATTAATTCTATCTCCATTATTGCAGTCATGGTTGGCCTAACAAAACCATCTGGTTCACGGAGCAAGGTTTAGAAGTGGTGGCTAAATATTTAACTAAACCCATCAGTCCTGCTAAAGTACTTCACGTGTTTGAAAATGGATACAGGAATCATTCTGTGTTTACGTAGCTCTTTTTTTCTTTTCACGCTGTTGTGTATAAGCAAACCTTGCACCTCCTTCTCAGATTTTGATGGAGGTGTAGTGGTGTTTCTGCACTTGTGTGTGTCGTTGAGTCCACAAGCTGCACAAAATGTATGAAGGCCATTATTTTCTTGTGCAAAAGGTAGTAGTGCTCGCTTTGCACAGGTGAATAAATCGGACTTTTCCATGTCTGATGGTGTTTCTCTGGACTGTATACTTGTGTTGTTGTTCGTTTGTTTTCTCAGATTTGTCTATTATCACTTTACACTCTTTTTTTCTACATAGAACAAAATATAGCTGGCCTAGCTCATGGCTATTCATACATTTCTTTCTTTTGATTCTAGTGGGAAATTTGTAGATGTTGCCCATTAATAGAAACTTAATAGAGCAATACTTGCCCAAGATTGTTAATTGCTTATTTATTCTTTCATAAAAATGTAGTGTAACTTTTAAATATGTTGCTTATGAGTCTCTCTGTTCCCACCAGCATCAAGTGGCTAAAGAGTACCATGACAGGGGCCCACGCATCAACTTGACCTTCAGAACTATCTACCCAGAGCCAGAGGGCCAGAGGCCGGGTACCAAAATGCGATTCACAGCCAAGTGACTGTAAATCTTCCTCAGAGTCGGGTACTTGAAGCTGAAGAAACTCTGATTCTACATTTCAAACAGAGTGCTAGATCTGAGGTGTGAACGGCTCTGCTTGGATTTCCAGACTGTGTAAGTGATTATTAATATCAGTGTTGTGAGCAGTCAAGATTATCTGATATTAGTATTATATCAGAAGAGCCAAATGGCCCCTTTTACAACAATAACAGCCACACCAGCCCTGTGAATGAGAACAAGTTCCAACAACATCCATCTCTTTGGTCTGAATATTGCTTTTGTGAGTTACGTACGTTTATTTGATTTAACTTGACCTTTTGTTCAATTTTCATTTGAGCCACATTTTTTAGGCTGAGTTTTAGTTTGAAGCCAAAATGTGTGATGTCAATAGTACCATGTTATTGAAAAGTTTGTCCTAAAGCAAGATCTGAGTACTCACTGTAAGGAAATGTCCTTTAAGTAAATTTACTTAAAGCTTTCTATCTTTGGAGCTTTTTATAAAGAGCTACCACAAAAAGAGAAGAATGAAGTAAAGTGGCCACAACCACTGAAATGCATTTTATTTTTCTTTTGAATAAAAGTTAATGAGTCCCTCAAAGAGCGAGTTCATTTTGCATTGTTGCTGAAACATGTTCAAAGTCAAGGGAACACTACAATGTTAGATTCTGGAATTTATTTATTCAAATGAATGTATATTTGGTAATAAATCACTGGGGATTGCTGGAAACCTCAACTGTTCCTTTCTCTGTTGTATGTTGTGGTTCAGCTTGTTTGGTTAAAAACTCTGAGTTTGTTCACATAGAGATGACGGAAACTGGGTTTTCCATTTCAGAAAAAAGACAGATCAGGTCAAAATAAAATCTGTACATTCTCCTTCTTTATAGGACTGACTGCACTGACATTCAGGTTGTCAGCAGTTCCTCCACAATGAATCATTTACCCTGCATTAGTGTAGCAGTCATATATCTGTAGGAAACTTTAGACATATAAGACACTGAGCAGTGATCAGTCTTTTTTTTCATTTTATGAATTCTTGGAGTTTATTGAAATAACTGATCGGTTAAAGTTTGGGAACCAAAACTTGTGTTTCCCATCTCAGAGTTAATCAGGTCAGGAGTTTACAGGTGGACCCAAAGTTTGTTAAAATGTTTATGCATGTGTGCTATTCGTTGATGGTTTTCATATCAGCACCTGCTCTTGCTTTTGAATGAACATAAGTTCTAAAACCTGCAAACTACACTTCTTCTTTGGTAAATAAAAAAAACTTACAGGCCCTTTTTTGTTGTTTGTTGTGTTTTCTGTCTGTCAGGTTCTGTCCTGGTTAATTTTACGGTCTCTCAATATTCACGTCTCTGGAAACCTGGTTCGGATTAGGTTCACTTCTACCCTTGTACCATCTACCATCCGTTGCACTTGTCAAAGGCCTAGAATGCATCTACTTTTCACAGTCATAAAACCACTATGATGGAGCATGTCTATTCTACATTAAAAAAAATTTTAGACACAGCATCTGTAACATTTCTGTTCATTTTTTCAGATACATGAATGCTACCTTGATGAGGAATTGCTTTTGTGTCTTTGTATTCGATGAAAGCATCCAAAAAGAGAAGAGGCATTAAAAACATGGTCATGCAAATGATACAGGTATCTCAAATGCATTACACAAGGCAGATTCACATAGCCAAGGATGCACCAAGCAGCACACAGGGAAATGGTATGCTGCCATCCATGTGACTTTTTGGAATTGTTGGCAAAGTCCTAAAGCTAAAAGTTTGACCCTGTGTGGTTACAGCTCTTACTGAGCTTTCTGTATACTTAAGCTATCTTCCTGATTTTTTGTTTGGACATAAAACTACTATAATAATAAATTAGGGATACATTCTGTGTATTAACATTTTACTAGTAACTTTTTATGGAAGGATTGTTGTCCTGTTGTTGAATGAGAAGGCCCAAACACAGGACACAGAAGCAGGTTGAACATAAACTGATAATAGATAATAGTGAGCCTTTTTTGGCCGACTCAATGAATCCACAAGTGTAGCCCAAGAATCGTGAGAAAAAAGGAGATGACAAAGCAGATTCTCACAAAGGGAAAGAGTTTGTACATCCTCATTTCCTCTCCACACATCTTGCATACCTGCATGGCCCACCAGACATGGAGACATGCAAGCAGTGGAGGTGAAGGAGAATTATCCTTTATCCCTTTAAATATCTCCCCCATATACATACATGCACACATAAAAATGAAGACCAAGGGAACCAAGGAAATTAAGAAAAGCCTTGTTGATATATAAAGTTGTATTTATACAATGAAACACTGACAGAAACAGGCCACAGGTAGAAACAAAGAAGACAGACTGCAGACAGAGAAGATACAAGGCCGCGGTGAAAAGAAAGGGGGTTAAAGTTCTGGTAACACATAAGGAGAAGCGATTTCCGAAGAAGCACAAGAAGTGAAAATTAGAAAGACAAATGCAGACTAGAAAAATAAAAGCCTTAGAAACACAGAATATCAACAGAATCAAAACAGCAACCAAACCTCCACGAACAGTAAGAGAAACACACGTGGACAACAGTCACACATGGACGATCATAATTTTACTTAGGCAGACTCAAAGTCCTGAGCTGTAATGAAAAGTTTGTCATGTAAATATTCTGGAATCTGAGCATGGTGTTTGCAAAATACAGTGAACAAGAAAGATGGTGCTCCAGGGCTGAGAAATTATGTAACCAGTGTTTTCATTATATCTAAAAAAAATTGTGATAAATGTATTTAATGGAAAATCAGTTTATAGTGTGGCTGTAATACGATCATGTGCTACGGTGTACAGACAATGCTTCAGGGCAGTTTTTGGTGTGTTGCTTTGTTTTTTGTCCATTTAGGTCAAACTCAATAGATGGAAAGAGCAAAGAGCTTCAGTTAAACTGGCTTTCTTCTTTGACTGTGGTCAAGACAGGTTATTTGACTGTGTATACATCTACAGAGAGGAGTGTCTCTGCAGTCAGAGTCGTTCAGGTTGATAGTCCACATTCTTTAATTGATCAAAGCTTAAAAATAAACTTACAACTAAGGATCCATTTGAACAGTTGTAACCGGGTGATTCCTAGTGATATATAATATGTGTGTGTAAATTTAGATATTAGGTCACTGGCCATGTAACCTCAACTTGTTGGTGCAAGACCAATCATACCAGCCACTCTCTGTATAGTGTATTAATAGCTGTTTGTGTGGTATGGATTGCTCAAATCTAAAAGTTCAACATAGCAAACTGATCCCTTGGTAAACACATATACAAGTATGATTTAACTATTCTAGCTGCGAGGAAATAGAAAGCCTGTTCAGATACTAAAGAATCGCATAGCAGGTCTGAAGTGCTACCTCTGACGAAAAAAAGCTGGTAAAAACAAACTGTCCTGCAGATCCAGTAAGGTCTGTGAAGACTCTAACAGCCAAGATAGCTGCAAAGAAAAAATCCAAGAAAGAGATAAAATAAAATGGATTCAATGATTGATGATAAACCAATCATTATGTAATCAGCTGGCTACATACAAAGTAAGGTATCTACTACTCAGCAGAGCTGGTTCAGTCTTGACAAAGCTTCATGTTTTAAAGTACAAGTTAGTGAGATATGTTTTGATTAATGTAATGCGTTGAGTAACTTCCCTGTGATTAGCTGATTAATCTAAACGCATTTAGGCATGTAGTCAAGATCAAAACAACCTTAGTATCAGAATGGGTAAGAAAGAAGATTTTAAGAGACTTAACATCCTGTTATTGGTGAATATTTCTGCTGATCTGTTGGGATTCCCACTCAGTCAACTCTTGGGTTTACAGAGAATGGTCTTAAGACGGGAAAATATCCAGTGAGTGGCAGTCTATGGGTGAAAATACTTTGCTAATGCCAGAGGTGAGAGGAGAATGGCTAAACTGAGTTAATAGGAAGGTAACATTAACTCAAATAACCACTCTTTGCAAGCAAGGCATGCAAAAGAGCAAATGCATACTGCTATCAAGTCAATATAAATGATTCCAGCTCCTTGTTGATCTGTGTCATAAAGAATTAAAGTAGCTCTGAAAGTAAAATGGGATACAACACAGTATCGGCGAGGCGTAACTGCAGACAGAGAAGTGTGTTATGTCACTTAGGATTATTGAAAACTTTTGTGAGTTGTATTTTATCATACCAGTGCCAGTTTATTAAGATGCTGCTGTTTTGTTTAGTCCTGATTTATTTGATAAAAATCTTTAATTTATGCATTTATTGTTCCCTTCACAAATTTTATATGACTAACAAAATGGCATCTCTACAAGAACAATTTAGTTCAAAGGTAGATTCTGATTTACCTTTTTTTTTTAAAAAACATCTTTAAGATTTTAATATTTACCTTCACATATGCTGCATGTATGAAAGTTATTTTAACAACTTAATACACTTTAAACACTTGGCACTGCTAAATTGCTGCAAAGACTCATGGTAAACATGTCTCTCTGTTTTTTTACCCACAAACAGGTGCTCACCTTCACTAATAATTTAAAGTATTTGGTGCAGCTAAGTGGATGAGGGATGTGAATGGTAGGGAAGATGGACACTAAAAAATCAAATCTGTCAACCACCAGAAGAGTTCACAGGGATGCAATATTTGATTTTCTGTTTCAGATTGGGCCGTATTCAAGCACATTTAGCATTTACTACATTAAAAAAAAAAGAAAAAGATTAGATTTCAGGTTTTGAACAGCCCTGTGGGATATAGTCACTGACACTGTAAACTCCCTGCAGCGCTCACTTAACTCAATTTTCCATGTACCTTTGCATCAGTACAGCACCTACGGTAACCATGACAACTTCCTTGATGGTCTAAACTGTCTGTAATGCCTCTCTGGAAGACTGAAGATTTTGAGAGAGTTAATGAGGGAGACCCTCACTTGTAACAGAGTGAATGTTACAAGTTGTATAACGGGTCCTAGGAAATGTAGCATGCTGTGCCCAAATTTCAGTGCCTGCTTAAAGTTGGGACTAAAGAGGCACAGAACATTTTGTATGTGACAGAAACATCACGTTGTTAGAAGGTTTGGGCTGAACACTGTTTGGTAATGTTCCAGATCACAGCCCATTTCCTGTAGCAAATCCTGCACCTGCTTCCCAATTCCTGGCTGCCTTCTAATTGCTCTGAAGATTTACATCTGTAATAATCAGAATCAAGAAATTAAGTAGAAGAATTTTTTTATATGAACATTGTTGCTAATATTGTATAACAGCATTTTTCAATGTTTTATTAAAAACTTAAATAAATCATAATGCACTGATTTTTAGATGATTAAACACTGAAAACTTTGTATGGTGTTTCCATGTTCTCCCTGGGCCTGTTTGAAATCCCTCCAGGTATCCCAGCTTCCTCCCACAATCCTGACATACATTCATGTTAACTGGCTATTCTAAACTGGCTGAAGGTGTAAATGTGTGCATCAATGATTGTCCGTCTCTCTGTGTTGGCTCTGTAACAGGTTGGTGATCTGTCTACCTTTGACTTTATGATACCTGGGATAAACTCCAGTCCATGTGAGATCCTTAAATGTAAAAGCATTTAAGAAAGTTGATGGATGGAGCATAAAATACTAAAAGGCATCAAATTCAAATGTTCAGCTCTTGAAATATGCACTAAATTCTGAATTCAATACAAACAAATCTTTGCAAATCTTTGAAAGAAGGATGACAATAGCCTGGGAAAGTTCTGTAATGCTAAAAAAAAAAAAAACCCACACACACACCTGGAAAATCTCAATGTTCATTAGCTTAGTTACAGGAGAAAGTTTAAGATTAATTAAAATTTGATTTTAAAAAGTCTTTTGGGAAAAGCTAAATACATAATCCCAATGTTAAACACACAGTTGGCGATATCATCACCTACATTACATTAATATAAGTAAAGATTGAGAGTATGATAAAACATGTCTGTATGATACATGCAAATCTACACCAAAAAAAAAAATGGGGCATTAGCTGGACTGGAAAAACATATCCTCCCACTTTTTAAAAGAATCAACAGCTTACACACTGCAGAAGCCCAACTTTACCTACATCTTGGTAGTGTGCAACGTTTCAATCCCACCCCCTCGTCATCAGACAATAATACACAGGCCATCAGTGGTAAATCATGTTGTTAGTCATGTAATCACATCACATGGACATGATAACCAATCAAAGTCATTTCTCATTAGTATCAAAGAGTTGACAGATAAATAATCATTATAAACCTCTGTGGCGACAGTCTGAAAGTTCATCAGGCTGTACACCTGAAGCATCATCCATTAAAAAAGAAAAAAACATTAATTAACATTATTTTGTGTATTTTTTTAATATAGTACTCAGCAATTTTTCTTTTTATATCCAATTAAATAATGATAAATGAAACTTCATTACATATAAGCAAGACTCATGTGGTTCCCTGTGAAGTAATGGGTTGACTCAGGTAGCTCTTTTGGTCTAAACCTGGTCAAG